TTAAAAAAATAAAATAAAAAAAATAAAAACATTATGAAGTCTTGAGACATGGGCATATTAAAGATAAACATCTAAAAAGAAGAAACAAGGAAATAAACCATGAGTACACACTTTGAAAGATCTGAACAATTATACTAGGAAACCCTCCCCCCACAAAAAACAAGAAAAAAGCAAAACCTTGTTGATAATGATTTGAATATACAGGTATTGACACTTCATAATTTTTAAAAATTCAGAGAGGCACCTGGGTGGCTCAGTTAAGCATCTACCTTCAACTCAGGTCATGATCTCAGGGTCCTGGGATCGAGTCCTGTGTCAGGCTCCCTGCTCATTGGGGAGTCTTCTTCCTCTGCCCCTTCCCCACTCCCCCCACCTCTCGTGTTCTCTCTCTCAAATGAATAAAATCTTTAAAAAAAAAAAATTCAGGAATAAGATTTTCAAGCAGGAGTAAATTGTTAAGCCATGTCTCAACTTTGACCATACACTAGAATCACCTGTGGACCTTAAAAGATGCTAAGGCTCTCCTCCCAGGTTTATGGTTAAGGTCTGTGGAATAAGATATGGACACCTGAATTTCAAGTTTACTTTTATATTATTTAATATACTTATATATATACTCTTAAAAAAACAGACTTTAAAAAACTGTATTTTTAAGAACAATTTTAAAGTTACAGAAAAATTGAGACAATAGTACACAGAGATCCCATGTTACCCACACCTAGTTTCCCCTATCATGAACATCTTACATTAATATGGTACATTACAATTAATGAACTAATACTGATACATTAACTGAAGTCCATACTTCCTTCATTCAGATTTTCTTAGCTTTTATTCAATTTCCTTTTTCCATCCCAGGATCCCATAGAGGATACCACATTACCTTCAGCTATCATGTCTCCTTAGGCCTCTTTTGGCATGACAGTGTTTTCTCAAGACATTGCTGGGTTCTGAGGACCTTGACTAAACATCAGGTATTGTATAGGAGGTCCCACCATTAAAATTAATCTGATGTTTTTCTCATGATTAGACTGGAGTTACAGGTTTTGGGGAAGATCATAGAGGTCAAGTGTCATTGTCATCACATCATATCAAGCGTACCTACTACCAACATGATTTACTGCTATTGATGTAGACCTTGATTATCTGGCTAAGGTAGAATTTGTCAGGTTTCTTCACTGCAAAGCTATTCCCTCTGAACCCCTAATACCCGTACCCTTTGGAAGTCAGTCACTATGTACAGCCCACTCTTTTTTTTTTTTTTAAGATTTTATTTATTTGAGAGAGAGAGAGAACACATGTGTGCACATGAGCAGGGGGTTGGGGAGAAGAGAGCAGGGCAGAGGGAGGGAGAGAATCTCAAGCAGACTCCATGCTGAGCACAGAGCCTGACCCCATAATCCCAAGATCATGACCCTAGCCAAAACCAAGAGTCGTATGCTCAACCAACTGAGCCACCCAGGCACCCCCATGCAGCCCACTCTTAAGGAATGGTGAGTTGTGTTCCTTCTCCTTGAAGGCAGAGTATGTATATAAATTACTTGGAATTTTTCTGCATGTGAGATTTATCTACTTTCCCCATTTATTTATTCATCCAATCATTTATATACACATGTATACTCACAGATATTTATTAATACTTTGGGATATAATATATACTCTTTAAGAATATAATTTATTTTTGAATAGGTAATTTATTCCCATGGCTCAAAATTTTTAAAGTACAAAAGAGCATAGTGCAAAATCTATGCTGGAGTTGCCCAGTTATCCCTGCCACAGTCAACACTGTTGCCAGTTTTTCTTAGTATCCTTCTGAAGATATTTTGTACCTAAAATGTTGTTGTTGTTGTTGTTGTTGTTTTACACAATTGTATAGTTTTAGTTTACTAGTTCCCTACTGATGGGATAGGAGTCGAGGAATAAAAGTAATGCCAAACTGCTTTGAGTTCAAATCCTGATCCATTTCACTTACTGTGTAACTGTGGCTAACTTACTTAACCTCAGTTTCTCTATCTCCTACTTCATAAGGTGATCATGAGAATTAAATAAATGAGTACACATAAAAAGCTTAGAACTGATCCATTTTGGGCACTATATAAATCTTAGCTACTGTTTCAAATCTTTTGTCATTACAAACACCTGATGTATCATCTTATACACACATCTTTTTCCACTTTTTGAGTATATGAATAGGATTACTTCCTAGAAGTAGATTTGCTAGGTCAAAGAATATTTTGACATTTTAATTTATTTTATTTTTTTTTTAGAGGGAGCAATTGCATGGGGGTGGAGAGTGAGGGGGGCAGAAAAGAGGGAGAGGGAGAAGAAGAATTTTAAGCAGGCTCCACACCCAGCATGGAGTCCAACTAGAGGCTTGATCTCATGACTCTGAGATCATGACCTGAGCCAAAATCACGAGTCAGACACTTAACTGACTGAGCCACCCAGGCATCTCTTGACACTTTTAGATATTGCCAAAATGTTCTTTATAGAGACCATGCCAATTCATGTTTCCATAAGTAATATATTGAGTGCTTATTTTTTCCACATTCTATTTTACAGTGTTTTATTAGTCAGCTTAGGCTGCATTAACAAAATATCACAGATGGAGTAGCTTAAACAACACAAATTTAGTTTCTCAGATTTCTGGAGGCTAGACTCCTGATATCAGGGTACTAGCATGGTCGAGTTCTTGAGAGGCCTCTTGCTCACTTGCAGACAGCAACCTTCTCACTGAGTGCTCAAATGACCTCTCCTCCAAAAATGCACATGGCAGGAGAGAGACAGATCTCCTTCTTCCTCTTCTTATATAAAGCTACCAATCCTATCGGATTAGAACCCTATGACTTCATTTAACCTTAATTACTTCCTAAAAGTCCTATCTCCAAAGTCACACTGAGTGAGGGTTAAGGCTTCAACATATGAATGTGAGGGGTGGGGAGGAGAGACACAATTTAGTCCTAGCAAATTTGTTAATGTTAGGTAAAAAATGGTTATTTCAGTATAGTTTTAATCATAAGAAGTTGAACATCTTTTACATGCTTAAGGGACAACTGTATTTCCTCTGTATACACTAGTTATTCATATTCTTTGACCATTTTTAATGGATTAACAGATCTTTAAAACTCCAAATCCAAACATTCCTCAAAATGTTTCTCATTATACAGGAAACGCTTAATAAGTCCTGGACAACCTATCAAAAAACACAAATAAAAACCCTGTATATTGGGGCGCCTGGGTGGCTCAGTCAGTTAAGCGGCTGCCTTCGGCTCGGGTCATGATCCCAGGGTCCTGGGATCGAGCCCCACATTGGGCTCCCTGCTCGGTGGGAAGCTTGCTTCTCCCTCTCCCACTCCCCCTGCTTGTGTTCCCTCTCTCGCTGTATCTCTGTCAAATAAATAAATAAAATATTAAAAAAAAAAACCTGTATATTTAATAGCATATATGTTGAATTTCTCAAAATGATCTGATGCCAATAAAACATCCTATACAGGAAAAGAGAGCTTTACCAAAATAATAGCTGTTTACCTACACCAGACTCCAGTAGAAAAGAACAAAAGAGAACCTTTTTCCCTTTCAAAATTGTATAATTTTAAGAGAAAGAAATATTCTAGCAAACTAATGATAATCAATTCTTGATTACATTTATAAATCCACTATTTTCATTGGACTCCTTTCTCTTTACCATTCAGAATGCAAGTCTTAGCTAATAAAATGGTATAATGCTTTCTAAGCATTCTACTTCCATGGGGAAAAAAGCAATTTGTGATTGGGAACAAGATTAGAAGAGCAGCAGAGGTGGTAACATGTTTAGTAACTGTCAGTAATTGTCACTGGCCATTTATTTAGTATATTCCTAAACTAGAATTCTCAATCAGGGCAATTTTGTCCCATAGAAGGTAATGTCTTGAGACACTTTGGGGTTGTTACAATGTGAGGTACTGGTGTCTAGTGGATAGAGGCCAGGGATGCTGCTAAACATCCTATGATGCATAGGACACTGCACAAAACAATTATCCAGCCCAAAATGTTGACAGTGCTGAAGCTGAGAAACACTGCTCTGGGGAATAAAGGGGTCAAGAATATAGAGAGACTGGAAAATGTGGAAGGAAGTTGACCAAGTTCTGAAAATTACACATGCCCATATTTCCTTCCCTAGCCTACCTAAGCCTTGATTAAAAGAAGAAAATAGGAAATGAAAGAGACAGCAAAAGAACTAGCAGGGTAGAAGTAAAATAGGCCTTTAATTTGGCCTCATTCCAAATTCCCCCCAGGCTTTTCTGCACTTGCTTTCTATAGACTGTGCAAATGACTCCTCTTGACTGTGCAAAATGAAGTCTTTTCCCAGTCCATATGGGAGAGGAATGGAATTTCATTCTAAGTTATCAAATGCTCACCCCTTATGCACTGCTCTCTTTGCCCACTTAACATTCCATATGTCTTTACTTTTGCAGTAAAGATGGCTTCAATAATAAAAAACAGAGCATCTTATCTTTCTAGAACCATCTTACGGAAATAACTTTTGATGGTGTTGACACTTGTTTGTAATTAAAAGGTTCCAATACTTGCAAATAAAATTCCTTCAAGCAATACTATATTTTGAGAGCTATTTGATGTGAACACTTTAAATTCATATCATAAAATTCCTATCAGTAAAATGCTAGATGAGGTAGAAGTTTTCAAGTTTGTTTTTTTTTTTAAGATTTTATTTATTTATTTGAGAGAGAGAATGAGAGACAGAGAGCATGAGAGGCAGGAGGGTCAGAGGGAGAAGCAGACTCCCTGCCGAGCAGGGAGCCCGATGCGGGACTCGATCCTGGGACTCCAGGATCATGACCTGGGCCGAAGGCAGTCGCTTAACCAACTGAGCCACCCAGGCGCCCAGAAGTTTTCAAGTTTTTAATTCTCCTTGGTCAAATACAATTTTTATACATTAACACAACTTCAGAATTTAACACTATTTGAACAAAAATTTATTACTGTACACTTTTTTAAAGGAGTATGGTTTTTTCTAGGTGCAATGGGAACCACTGCAGAGTTTCAATGCACATCTAATTTTTTTTAAAGTTTACACTGAAATATGAGTAAAATGCAATAATCTGAATTAGAATAGATCACCACATACATGCACATGCATACACACCCATGTAACTACCTCCCAGATCAAGATACAGAACATTCTCAGCACCACAGGTTTCTTTACATTCACTTAATTTGAGAAGCTGAATACTAAAGTAATTTTAAATTTGATGTCAAGTAAATCATAGTAAGTCTAATAATAAACCAGATCATAGTAAATAAGCTCCACAAGGGGAAGGGCATTCTCTTTTCCTACTCCCTACTGAATGTACAGTACCTAGAACTTAGTATTTAATTTACTGAAAAAAGCTGTTGACTAGAGAGCAAAGGTAACTAATTTAACACTAATAAAATTCCCAGAAACAAATATCCTATTTAACATAATTTTTCAGGAAAGTATGTAGTTGAAGAGAAGAATTTCAATGACCATTTCTATATACAGATAGATGGCACTACAGTCTAGATGAGTCAATGAGAAAATTATTCAGTGGGGACTCTGAATTTATTCTGAACTTTCATCATTAATCTTCAACCTAGGATTTTCTGGATATGATACATTAGAGGAGCTGCCTCATTTAACACCATTTCTCTTTGACACAAACCAGAGTAATCTTTTTTCATTTCCTTTTTACTTGTTTTGCTATTAGTTCTGTTTATCTTTAATTCAAACTTTCTGGAACTTTCTATCCTAGCCAACACATTTACCTGAATATCTAGCAGAATTGGGAAAAAAAACCAAAAACCAAAAACCAAAAAACAAAAAACAATTTTCTTCCGGTTTGAGCCTCCAGATTAGTAATGGTTGCCTGGCATTATTTTGCCAAGACAAAAAATGTAGGTAAAGAGTAAGATGTCACCTAGCCACTGCAACACAGCTGTAGTAGAAATAGGGGAGAAAAAAAAAAAAAACGAACACAGAATGACAACTGGTTTCCAGAAAACAAAAGACACAGCTGGGGTTTTTGCTCTACTTCAGCAGGACCTGAAAATTATACCCAATCCAAGTCTGCAGAAACAATGTATTCACTTGACGAGTACATCAAAATCACTCCTAACTAGGATACACAGACAAAGATTTTTCATGTCTAGTGTCATGTAAATGGTCAAAACGAAAAACAAATGTTTTAAATCAGCTGAAAGCAGAGAGTTTTGCTTTAGTTAGGTTCAATTTCAGTAAATACCATTACAGCTTAAAATGAATTGCTGTTGGCCAATTTCCTTTCTTATTACTCCAATTACATTTACTATGTTCATTCAACAAATTAACACAATACAGCAGTAGCATCATAGTGCTATTTTCTAAGCTTCTTGGCAATTTGAAATCAAGAACACGAGGAACTAACATTCCCTGAGAATAGTTACTATGCACCAGGCACCATGTAAAGCACTTGGCATTGCTATCTCATTTATTTTCTCAAAACTCCTAAAACAAATAATCCCAGTCCTCTAATAAACACTTGATCTCAATTTTTTATAGTTTCTCATATGCTAAATACTAAAATCAAGACACGAGTAAAGCAATGTCACTGTACAGAAAAAATTCTATACATATTTTGGTATTTACTAAAATTTTAAGAACACTATAGGATCAATGATCTTTCCAGATAAGAGAGATTTTAAAACTATGAATATTACTATTTTGAGGGCACTAATTATGTGGCAGACACTGCATTAAGAGCTTTACATTTTATCACCATAATTTTTTAATGAAGGTAGGAATCATGATCCCAGCTTTCCAGATGAAGATCTGAAGTAAGTGACCTGAAAAGGGTCTCTAATTTCAAAACAAAGTTTAAGAATCAAAATCTCCACCCTGAGTCTGTCTCTTTGGCTTTAGAACACTGCTATCTCTTTCTTGGACTCTTTTTTTTTTTTTTTAAACATACGCCAATAACAAAAAATAATAGTACAGGTTTAAACACTAATGTAATTTTGACATTGGGAATCCATGCACAATCACTCACTCTAAGATTGGGCAAAGCTTTTGGCCTGTTCCCTGGGTTTTGATTTGCTCACTGTAATTTGATTCTTTGGCGGTGGCCTCCCAGCAGAGATCTTGTTTCCGTTTGGCTCAATCTCAATTCTACCTGCTGCTCAGATCTGTCTGCCTTCTCAGTTCTCCTGATAGCCAGTCTCACTAGTTCTTTGAGTTTCATCAGTTTAAGCGTTCTCTTCAGCATATAAACTCCTAGAAGGCAGAGATACCGTTTGTTGCTAAGTCTGCTTTATAAGCCAATATGTTGATAAAGGAATCTACTGTAGACATCTAAAAATATATTCATTCCTGAAACTAATATACACTGTATGTCAACTATACTTAAATAAAAATTAAAATTTACATTAACTATATCCATACTCACAACAGAAACAGTGTACTATATACTTAAAACAAACACATCCAAGCCAAACTAGCAATCCTATTTGAAAGCTCTCAAACTACAATTTTGAGTTAATACATACCCATACAAAATACATACCCTTTTACATCTAGAAGATTCACAACTGGCATTTTGGGCCAGATAATTCTTTGTTGTGGGGAGCTCCCCCGAGCATTGCAGTAACATCCCTGCTCTCTACCCACTAGATGCCAATAGCACGCCCTCTCTCCCCAGTAGTGACAACCAAACAAAAAAACTCCAGATACTGCTAAATGTTGCCAGGGATCAAAATCACTCTGGTTGAGAACCACTGGTTTAATTTAATCTTATACATTAAAATGAGATATTGGAGCTATAATATTTGCCAATTAAGTAGTGCTAATCTACATTCTTACAAGGAATAAGGAAAAAGTTTACTGGTGTTCTCAGAGTGAATAACTTTGAGAATTTCAAGTATTTCAAGAAGCTGGCCTTTTGCACAATCCTAGGAAGAAAGAGTTCTTTGAATTAAATATCTGAAAAATATAAACTAGTCGGAGCAGGTTTGGTACAACTAAGGTACCAATACATGAAACAGAATGGAAAAGAATACTGGTGCTTATCTGCTTATTTCTTTCTATAAATCATTTAATCAACAGAGGTTAACTATCACCACAGATTATTTGCAGTATTATTTTCAGCAGTAAAAGCAGGTAGAACATATCCTTTAACAAATGTCTACTGAAACTAAGGCATTTGGGGGGACAGAAAGATGAGTAAGACAGAACCAATTTCAGTGTAACATAAATGTTGAAGCATTTCAAATCTTCAAGAAAAGGAAGCTAAATTTTTGGCTTAAGTTAAAGACAACAACAACAAAAGAAACTCCACCCAATCCGCCCTCGGGACGTGTCATGAAATTGGACTGAATTCAAAGAGTGACCACTTTTGGTCATATCCAAGTTTTAAGCAAAGCTCAACTACAAATGATCTGTTAGATATTTTCCTGGAAACAAACAAACAAAAATCTCAATGTATATGTTTTGTATTATCTGTATTAGAATTCAATCCCAATTTTAACTAAATATAAGCCTGAAATCTTTCTATTTCTATGAAGTTTTATATATCCTCATTACTGGAAATACCAATTTCATTTTCCCCCTAATTGAACACCATGCCTAATCTGTATTTATTACTACTATTTTCAACATTTCCCCACATGCCTGTTTACTAATTTTTTCGTGAAATGTATTTTTATATCATTTGACTAAATATTTAGAGATCAATGTTTTTCTTACCAATACATGAGCTCTTTACAGAATAAAGATGTTAGATATTTAATACCTGTGTAGTATTTCCCCAATCTTATCTTTGTTTTTATTTTTATATATGTAAATATTTTAATTTTCAATACTCAAATCTGTAAACTGTTCTTTACCCTTGTGCTTCCTTTTCCTGATATCAAAGTGAGATATCCCCCTCTCTGTAAGTTTGATAAATATTCAATTCCATTTATTCTCTTTTTCCTTTGATCCAAATTCTCAATATTTAACCTTTACTTTAATTCCTCTGAAATTTATCCTGGTGTCAGATATTAAGTGGAGGTCTTTGTTAATGCTCCTCTCATTGCCTAACTTGTTTTCTAAACTCCATTTCCGAAAAATGATTCTCTTTTATTTCTCATGCCTCCTTAGCCATATACCTAAAATGTACGAATGATCTATTACTGTTCAAGTCATATACAGTTTCCATTATTGTAGCTGTTTTTCTCCCCCCTTTTTCTTATTTTTCAGACTTTTAACTTAATGCTTTTGGCTACTTTTTTAAACTTTAGAAAAATATTGTTAGGGTAAAAAGAATCCCAATAAAACCTTGAATGGAAAACATAATTTAATTTGGGAAGTAAAAATTATACACTGTTAGTCTTTTTTTTTTCAGAATATGATAATACATTTCACAAAGTCTTTTAAATACTTCATAAAAATTTAAAATTTTATTTATATCTGATTCATCCATTTCTTAAGACAGTTATCAAAAAATACTTTACTCATTCTTTTCCTAATGGAAATATTAATGTACTCTTGATTAGTTTTCATGTCCTTCTTTTGCTATCAAAAGATCTTATATAGTTTCAGTTAACTATCCCTAGGCCTTTGTAGTTGCTCTATAGGCTCCTTCTGGCCATTTAGTCCTTGGGAATGTGCATACAGTGCAGGAATACAGAAAAGCATGCTTACTCACTGCTCAATAATAGTAACTAATTAAATCAGCTGAGCTCAAAATTGTGATTCTGAAGTTACATCTGTAATCACCATTAATCTAAAGACTCATATAACTACCTCATCCCCTGAGGAATATAATATACTATTATATTATAAAATAATATACCAAGACAAAAATCACAGGTTTTCAGGAGCTAAAGAATGCACATGAAATAGACACATACGGCCCAAGAACAATTAGATAAGCCACAGAACTGATATACCATTAACCTCCAATTTTCTGCACCAATAAAAAGAACATTTGTAGAAGCTAATAGAAAACGTGAATAATTTACCTATACAGATTAAGGAACAACTGGGTTGTCTTCTACACAGCAGAAAATAGATTATGACACGTGTATATTCTATAAAGCACAAAAGCGAAACATAAGCTTAACTGGTAGTAGCTTTCACTCACTTCTGGATCACCACTAATTTCCAATAAACTCCCAACAGAAAAAGGTTCCCAAAGTATGTGCGACTTAAGTTTTGTTTTTTCAGTTTAGAAACCACTAAGGTCAGATTAATATTATTATTAAGAAACTAATACTGTGAGACTGCTATATGCTAGGTACTGGGCTAAGCAAAACAAATTTCCTATACACACACACACACACACACACAAATAATATACATATACACACACAACCATGAAATGAGCACTATTTTAACCTCATTTTTTAGATAAGAAACCAAGGTTACACAACTAGTAAGTGGTAGAGATAAGCCCAGATTTGACCCCAAATGTTTTTAATAACCATACTATACTGTTTCATATGAATTTTTAGAATTTATTCAACCAAAAAATATTTGTTGAACACCTACTGTGGACATGTCTGACCTCACAGAGCTTACAGTTTTAGGGTGGCTATACTCAAGTAAAAGAACAATCAATATAATGAAAGTTTAAACACAAGTTGTCCAGGAATGAAGAGCATAGCACATGGTAATTAAATGGATATATATAAAATGTTATGTTTTACTATTCTCACAATCTCCATAAAAGGCAACTATGGTTTAATGTACTGGAAGAAAAATGATGGTGGAGATGGTAAATGAAATTACCATGAACAGAACAGAAATCCCCACAAATTTCTAGCTCACATAAAATTTAGAACACTACTAGGAAGCAGAATCATACAGCTTTATTCACTTACCCATGGGGGGAAATGTCCATATGTGCATAAATACACAGGTTTCTGATTATTGAGGATGTTAAAGGCATCTTGCTTTATCCATGCTACAAGCTATCAAAGTAGTAGCAGGGCACTTTACTAGCCACTAAGGTTTATTTCCCCAGGTGAAGGGCCATAGTTGGTGACAATAAAAGCAAAAAGTTGGGTTTAAAGCAAGCTTTCATTACCTCCTGAATGAGATGGTAGTTATTCCTTTAGTCATTTACCATTTTGTACCTTTATTTCTGGTCTTACCATGATCTACCTTATATTACGGTAATTTTACATTCACTCATCTTCTTTTGCCAGAGCATAAATCATTGGGGCAGAAAATTTATCTTTCATCTTGGTAACTCTACAGTATCTAGCCTGGTGACTGAATAGAATAAGTGCACCACAAATATTTGTTCAATTGCATGAAGCCATACAGATAATGGCCCCTGGTAAAGGCTCATTGTACCACACTATTTAGCTCTCTGCAAACTGCCAAGTAAAAGAAATGAAATCACTAGCTCTTATTTTTCTAAAATTTTCAACTATCATAGTAACCTATAATCAGATGCAGACCTCACTGAATTTATGTATTTGTATACAAGATTTAAAATATACATATAATTATATTTTATACGATGGCAAGCTCATACAACAAAATATGCAATTTAAATATTTGGAAAAAATATCTTCAGTTTATTACTTATGTGGTCTCTTAAGCTTATTGATTTCCATTACATTTAGGTTCTCAATTCTGGCTACTCCTTAGAACCATAGGTAGAGCTCTTAAACAGACTCTCTACTCCCAGAAAGCCTGACTTAACTGGTCTGGGGAAAGGTCTGTTAAGCTTCCTGATTGTTCTAAGGGACAGCCAGGGTTGAAAATCATTGTTACAAACTAAGTTGCATGTAACCATGAAACCACATACGTGGAATCTGTAAACGTTTAAAAATCCTGATCCTTCACAACCTGTGGCCTATGATAAAGATTTTTGAAAATTGAGCTACTTTTGCATAAATATGACAAACCAAAATTTGAAGATTCTGCTCCTAATTAAAAAAAAAAAAAGCTGGTCTTTAGGAAATGCCACTGACATAGTTACCAAAAAATTTTGTGGGGTGTTTAAAAGTAGTTGGATAAGATTTTATAAGGAAAACAAATAGACACAAACACTGAAGTGTATTTGTCAAAGTATATATATTAGAGATTGTTCATTTGATTGTAATCAATTTACTATCTTATCAAAAATTACTGAATCATGGAAAACTTTAATAAGGAGCTTGGTCCACACTCCTTCAACCTATTTCCAACAGTAGGCTGGGACTGAAAAATATTTTACAATAATGCATTCACTCAGATGTGGTCATGGCACAACCTGGGGGCAATTCAAATACAGCTTTCCATTACATTATATATTTCAAGTGAAAGCCTAAATATTAGATAGAAAGACGAGGAGGAAAGCAAACAAACATGTGCAGGAAAATTTTGTAAGGGCAGTAAAAATGGCACACAGGAAAAGACTAAAGGAAGCTTTAATGAATACAAAAAGTCTCCCAAGTTGAGGAAACTATAACCTCAAGACCAAGTTCAACAAACCCCAGCAACAAAAACAGAAAAAAAAAACCACAATAAAGCAATCATATTTAAACTGCTGAAAACCAAGAAGACAAAAATTGTAAATGAAGCCAGAGAAAAGAACATATTGCATACAGTTTGGATCCAACACAAAGTAATGAAAAGTAATGAAAATGTTAAATATGGAAGTAAATATAAAAGGTAATTTTTCTCACTTTTAATTTCTTTAAAACATAATTTACTGTTAAAAGCAAGAAGAAAAACAATGTGTTGTGGGATTTGTAGCAACAGCTGATCCTCATCATTCACAGATTCTAGATCTGTGAACATGCCTACTCCCCAAAATTTATTTGTAACCAAAAATCAATACTTTCTGTGCTTTTACAGTCATTCACAGACATGCAAAGAAGACAAAAAATTTGAGTCACTCTTGTGCATGTTCCCATCTGAAGTCAAACAAGGTGATGCTCTTGTTTAAATTCTCACAGTGTAAAAACACATGTCCTTTTCACGGTCTATTTATTGTCATGTGTTCTGAATTTGGGGGCTTTTTTGATGGTGATTTTTCTGTTTAAAATGACCCCCCAAGCATCATACTGAAGTGCTGTCAAGTGTTCCTAAGATCAAGTAGTCTATAATATGCCTTATGGAGAGAATATGTGTGTTAGAGAAGCTTCATTCAGGCATAAGTTACAGTGCTGTTGGCTGTGAGATCAATGTTAATGAATCACCTGTATATACTAAATAAGGCATCTTTAAACAGAAACACATATAAAACAACATTATGTAGGGCGCTTGGGTGGCTCAGTTGGTTGAGCGACTGCCTTCGGCTCAGGTCATGATCCTGGAGTCCCGGGATCGAGTCCCGCATCGGGCTCCCTGCTCAGCGGGGAGTCTGCTTCTCCCTCTGACCCTCCCCACTCATGCTCTCTCAAATAAATAAATAAAATCTTTAAAAAAAGAAAAAAAAAAACGTTATGTATTTACTGGTTGACAAAAATGTTGTGACCAGATGCTCACAGGAACCCAACCCTGTATTTCCCCTAGGAGCAACTCTTCAATATTCACTAATTCACTAATGTTTGAGGTCACTTTACAGAATATAACTATCACAAATTATGAGAATCAACTGTTTACAGAAATAAAATGTACAATAGTACAAGTGACAAAAGAAAATAGAAATATACTATTCTAAGGTATACATTACATCATACTTAGAATAGTATGATACTGTTTGAAGACATCTCTGATGAAATAAAGATGTATATTATATAAACTAAAGGATGAAAAATTTTTTATAAAAGACCAGATACTAGTATTTTAGGCTTGGTGTACCATATGGTCCCTGTCACAGCTACTTAACTCTGCTGTTGTAGCATAAAAGCAGTCACAGGCAAGATATTACTGAATGAGCATGCTATGTCCCAATAAAACTCTATTCACAAAAAGAGATGGTGGGTGAGATTTGGCCCATAGATGTAGTCTACTGACCCTGGCACTAGAGAAATTGCTGAAAAAATTTTTTAAAAGAGAATAAATCAACAATGGAGATAAAATGGACTTACAGAATATACTCAATTCAAAAGAAGAGAAAATGACCCAAGACCAGAAGAGACAAACAAAAAACAATACATTTAAATGCATCTATATTAAACACTGTATTAAATATAAATGGTTTAAGCACTTAAAAAACAGAAGTTGTCAGACTGAATTTAAAAAGCATAACCCAAGCATATGTAATCTACAAAAAACCCCACTTCACATATGAAGACAGAAAGTATATAAGCAAAAACATATAAAAATATACCACAATGCAAACACTAATCTTTTGGGGAAAAAAATAAGACTGGTTATATCAATACCACATAAATGTGACTTCAGAACAAGGTACATTACCAGAGATAAGGAAAAAAACTTACACTGAAAAAGAAATCAATATATCAAAGGTTGTAAAAATCCTAAATGTGCCTGCAAATAATTTTTGCTTCATGTTTTTAAGCTCTATTAATTAAAACTGAGAGAACTAATAGACAAATCTAAAATTATATTCAGATTTCAATACTCCTTTCTCAATAAATGGTAAATGAGTAAAAAGAAATCCAGAAAGAAAACACTATCAACCAACTCTTCCTGACCTTCATAGAAAACTTCACTCAACAAGAGGAGAATATACATTTAAAAGAATTGCATATGTAACATTCAGAATGTAGTGTAAGATAGAATCCTACACTATTAAAAATAAAACCCTTCAAATTATACACATTGAAATTAAAGTATATTCTTGGGCCAAAATTAAAACTAGAAATCATTATAACATAAAAACATCTGAAAATTTTTCAAATGCTTCCAAATTAAACAATCCATGGATCGCAGATGAAATCACAAGAGAAATTAGGAATTAATTTAAACAAAATGTAAATGAAAATACAACATATCAAAGTTTGTGGCATGCAATTAAAGTAGTGATTAGAGGGAAACTTATAGCACTAGACACATATAAAAAAGACAAGATTCAAATCAATGACCCAAGCTTCCACCTTAAGAAACTGAAAAAATAAAGTTAAACTCAAAGAAGGTAGAAAAAAGAAAATTAAAAAATTGAAAACAGACAATAATAGAGAAATCACTTTAAAGGGTAATGAACATAAAACACAACTTTCACCAATGGATTTGCCAACTCAGATGAAATGAAAATCTTCCTTTAAAGACACAAATTATCAAAGTGCACTCACAAAAGAAATAGATAATCTGAATAGTTCTATGCCCATTAAAGAAATAGAAATTGAGTTAAAAACCTTCTCATAAAAAAAAATTCTAGGCACAGATGGCTTCATTGGTGAATTCTACCAAATATGTCAGGAAGAAATAATTACAGTTTTGTACACATTTATTCAGGAAACAGGAGGGAAATACATCCAAACTCATTTTGTGAAGCCAACTTTACCCTGATACCAAAACCACACAGAGATAATAGAAGAAAAAAAAGTTACAGGCCAATACATTATCTTAGACAGAAAAATATTAAGAAAATATAGGAAAGTATAAAAATGATAATATATGATGACCAGGAGGGTTTGTTGCAGGAATGCAAGGTTGGCTTAACATTCAAAGGTAAGCCAACATACCTCATCAATATTAACAGACTAAAGGATAAAAATACACAGATACAGAAAAAGTATTTAACAAATTTACAGTCATTCAAGATAAAAAGTCTAAGCCAACTAGGAATAGACAGGAATTGCCTTAACTTGATGAAGAACATCTAAAAAAATTTACAAGCAACTTAATGGTGGAAGACCAAATGCTGTTCCTTTTAAGAGTGGTAACAAGGCACAGATGTCCACTCTTACCACTTCTATGCAATATAGTCCTGGAGGTTTAGCCTCCAGTACAAAACAAGAAAATGAAATGAAATTTTGGAAGGCAAAACATAAAACTATCTTTATTTACAAAAGACAAGATCATCTATATAGAGAATCTTAAAGAATTTTTTAAAGTTACTAGAAGTAATAAATGAGTTTAGCAAGGTTGCAGGACACAATGTCAATGTACAAAAATCACAATATTTCTATATAATAAAATGAAAAATCAGACTGAGATTTTTTTTAAAGTCCCATTTATAATAGCACCAAAACCCCATTTATAATAGCACCAAAACCATCAGCAAAATGATGTACACAATTTCTATAGGGTTTTCTTTTTGTAGAAATTGTCAAGTTGATTTTAATGGAAATGCAAAGGACACAGACTGGTCAAAACAATTTTGGAAAAAAGAACAAAGTTGGAGGACTTAATGCACCTGACCTCATGTCTTTATAAAATTAAAGAATTCAAGACAATGTGAAATCAGTTTAGGGGTACACAGATATAGGCCAATAAAGCAAAACAATGTTCAGAAATAGATCAAAATGTATGGTTAACTGATTTACAATAAAGGTCCTAAAGTAATTCAGTGAGGGAAGAATAGTCTTTTCAACAAATGATCCTGAAAAAATTTGATGTCCAATGCAAAGAAATGAAGTTCAACCTTTATCTCACACCATATACAAAAATTATTATTTTTTTAAATAAATTCAGATGAATGGGTTGGAAGCGGTTTACGGTTTTGTTTTTTTTTTAAGATTTTATTTATTTATTTGACAGAGAGAGAGACACAGCGAGAGAGGGAACACAAGCAGGGGGAGTGGGAGAGGGAGAAGCAGGCTTCCCATGGAGCAGGGAGCCCAATGTGGGGCTTGATCCCATCATGACCTGAGCCGAAGGCAGACGCTTAACCACTGAGCCACCCCGGCACCCCCCAAAATATTTTTGAAATGGATTGTTACGAGTTGAGTTGTGTTCCTCCAAAAGATGTTAAAATCCTAACCCCCAGAACCTGTGAATGTGACCTTCGGAAATAGGGTTTCTGTAGATAGATGATCCAGTTAGAATGAAGTCATTAAGGAGGGCCCTAACCCAATAGGACTGTGACCTTATAAAAAGAGGAAATTTGTCAACACAGACAGACATTTATAGAGAGAAGTCAATATGAAAACATAGGAAGAATACCATCTATAAGCTAAGGAATGCCTGAGGCCATTAGAAGCTGGGAGAGAGGCATGAAACAGATTCTCACTCACAGCCCTCACAGAAGGAACAAACTCTACTGATATCTCAGTTACAGACAGCTAGCCTCAAAAACTGTCAGAAAAATTTCTATTGCTTAAGCCATGCAGCTGTGGTAGTCCCACAGAACTAACATATGGATTATAAAGATAAAAGCTGAAATTATGAAACTTCCAGGAGAAAACAGGGGACAAAATCTTTCTTATCTTCATTCAGGCAAATATTTTTTAGATATGAAACAAAAGCACTATCCATAAAGAAAAAAATTAATTGTATTTCATTAAAATTAGAAATTTTGGCTCTCCAAATGATACTGTTAAGAGAACAAAGAATATAGCATATTATAATGAAAAGTACATAAACTAACTTAGATCAGACAAAATAGACTTTTTTTTTTTAAAGATTTTATTTATTTATTTGACAAACAGCACAAGTAGGCAGAGAGGCAGGCAGAGGGAGAGGGAGAAGCAGACTCTCCACTGAGCAGGGAGCCTGATGCGGGGCTCAATCCCAGGACCCCGGGATCATGACCTGAGCTGAAGGCAGCCGCTTAACCGACTGAGCCACCCAGGCACCCCCAGACAAAATAGACTTTAAGCCAAAGACTGTAATAAGAGACAAAGAAGGTCATTATATAGTGATAAAGGAGTCAATCCAACAAGAGGATATAATCTTTGCAAATATTTATGCACCCAACATAGGGGCACCTAAATATATAAAGTATATAAAGCCAATATTAACGGACTTGAAAGAAGAAATAGACAACTACACAATAATAAAGGGATTTTAGTACTGCACTTTCAACAATGTCTAGATCACCCAGACAGAAAATCAAAAAAGGAACACTGGAGTTAAACTATACATTAGACCAGACACTTAACATTTACGGTAACATTCCATCCAAAAGCAGCAGAATACATATTCTTCTCAAGCAAACATGGAACATCCTCCAGGACAGATCACGTTAGGCCACAAAACAAATCTTAATAAATTTAAGAAGACTGAAATCATATAAAACATCTTTTCCTATGACAATGGTATGAAACTAGAAATCAATTACAAAAAAAAAAAAAACCCTGGAAAATTCACAACTATGTGGACATTAAATAACATGAATTGTACAACTAGTCAAGGTGAGATCAAAAGAGAATAAAAAAATACCTTGAGACAAATGAAAAATACATATACCAAAACTTACAGGATGCATAAGTTCCGAGAGCAAAGTTCATAGCAGTAAACACGTACATGAAGAAAAAGATCTCAAATAAACAACCTAACTTTACACCTCAAGGAACTAGAAAAGTAACAAACTAAGCCCAAAGTTAGCAGAAGGAAAGAAGTAACAAAGATCATAGTGAAATTAAATCAAATAGAGACTAAAAAGACAACAGAAAAGATCAATGAAACTAAGAGCTAGTTTTTTTGAAAAGATAAGCAAAACAAACCTTTAGCTTAAAGAAAAGAGAGGACTCAAATAAAATTACAAATGAAAGAGGTGACACTGATACCACTTAAATACAAAGGAACATAAAAGACTACTATAAATAATTATACACCAACAAATTGGACACTTGGAAAAAATGGATAAATTCCTAGAACAACCTACCAAGCCTGAATCATGAACGAGTAGAAAATATTAACAGACCAATTCTATAGTAAAAAGATTGAACTGGTAATCAAAATCCTCACAAAACAAACAAAAAAAAGCTAGATTACTTTACTGATAAATTCTACCAAACATTTAAAGAATTAATACCAGTTGTTCTCAAACTCTTCCAAACCATATAAGAGGAAGGAACATTTTTCCAAGCTCATGAGGCCAGCATTACCCTGATACTAAAGACAGACAATGACACTACAAGGAAAAAAAAAATTATAGCTCAACTTTCTTGATCAACACAGATGCAAATATTCTCAACAAATATAAGCAAACTGAATTCAACACCACATTAAAAGGATCATACACCATGATCAAGTGGGATTTATTCCAGGGATGCAAGAATAATTCAACATCTGGGAATCAATAAGTGTGATATACCATATTAACATAATAAAGGATAATAAGTCATCTCAATAGATGCAGAAAAAGCATTTGATAAAATTCAACATCAATTCATGACAAAAACTCTAAACGAAGTGAGGTATAGAGAAAACATACCTCAACATAACAGGGGCTGTATATGACAAGCCCACAGCTAACATCATACTCAGTGGAAAACCTAAGATCAGGAATAAGACAAGGATGTCCATTCTTGCCACTTTTATTCAACATAGTACTGGAAGTCCTAGCCAGAACAATTAGGCAAGAAAAAGAAATAAAAGACATCTAAATCAGAAAGGAAAAAGTAAAACTGTCTATGTTTGTAGGTGACATGAAACACTCCAACAAAAAATTTTGTTAGAATTAATCAACAAATTCAGTGAAGTTGCCAGATACAAAAATCATATACAATAATCAGTTGCCTTTCTATACACTAATAAGTTACTATCAGAAAGAGAAATTAAGAAAACAATCTCATGTATAATTGCATCAAAAATAAAATACCTATAAATAAATTAGTGATGTCCTCAACATCACTAATCATCATCAGATAAAAAACCTATAAAATAAGGTGAAAGATCTACACACTAAAAATTGTATCTATAAGACATTAATGAAAGAAACTGAAGACCCAAAAATTGTATCTATAAGACATTAATGAAAGAAACTGAAGACCCAAATAAATGGAAAAATATTATGTTCATGGACTGGAAGAATATTATTAAAATGTCCCTACTACCCAAAATAATCTACAGATTCAATGCAATCCCTATTTTCCAATGGCATTTTTCACAGAAATAGAAAAAACAATCTTAAAATTTATACAAAACCACAAAAGAACCTGAATAGCCAAAGCAATCTTGAGAAAGAAGAACAAAGCTGGAGGCATTTACATTTCTTGATTTCAAACTATACTTCAAAGCTATAGTAATCAAAACAGTATGGTATTGGCACAAGAATGGACATATAAATCAATGGAACAGAACAGAGAGCCTAGAAATAAACCTATGCATATATGGCCAATGAACTTATGACAAAGAAATCAAGAATATACAATGGAAAGGATAGTCTTTTCTATAAATGGTGCTGGGAGAACTGGGACAGCCAAATGCAAAAGAATGAAAGTGGACCCCTCTTTTACACCATACACAAAAATCAACTCAAAATGCACTTAAGACTTGAATGTAGGACCTGCAACCACAAAAATCTTAGAAGAAAACATAAGGGATAAATTCCTTGATATCATTCTTGGCAATGATTCTTTGGATTTGACACTAAAAGGAAAGGCAACAAAAGCAAAAATAAGCAAGGGGGACTACATCAAACTATAAAGCTTCTTCTCAGCCAAGGAAACCACTGACAAAAATCAAAACACAACCACAGAAGGTGGAAAACGTATTTGCCAATCATGTATCTGATAAGGGTTTAATACCCAAAATATATAAAGAACTATAACTCAGTGGCAAAAACAACAAACAATCCTATTTATTTATTTTTAAAGATTTTATTTATTTGACAGAGACACAGCGAGAGTAGGAACACAAGCAGGGGAAGTGGGAGAGGGAGAAGCAGGCCTCCTGCTGAGGAGGGAGCCCAACGCAGGGCTCAATCCCAGGACCCTGGGATCATGACCTGAGCCGAAGGCAGTCGCCCAACGACTGAGCCACCCAGGTGCCCCAACAATCCAATTTAAAAATGGGCAGAAGAACTGAATAGACATTCCCCCAAAGAAGACATACAAGTAGCCAACAGGCACATGAAAAGGTCCTCAATATCACTAATCATCAGGAAAATGCAAATTAAAACCACAAGGAGGTATCACCTCCTGGCTGTCAGAATGGCTAACATCAATAGGACAAGAGATAAGAAGTGTTGGTGAGAATGTGGAAGAAAGGGAACCCTTGTGCACTGGTGGGAATCTAAATTTGTGCAGCCACTATAGAAAACAGTACGGATGAGGAAAAAAAAAGAAAGAAAGAAAAGAGTATGGACGTTCCTCAAAAAATTAAAAAGAGAACTACCATATGATCAAGCAATGCCATTTCTGGGTATATATCTGAAGAAAATGAAATCACTACCTCTAATAGATACCTGTACTCCATGTCAATGCATCATTATTTACAATAGCCAAGACACGGAAACAACCAAATGTCCATCCAAGGATGAATGAATAAAGATATTGTGGTATACATACCACATATAGAATATTATTCAGCCACAAAGAGAAGGAAATCCTACCATTTGCGACAGCATGGATGGACCTTGAAAGCACTATTAAGTGAAGTAAGTCAAGCAGAGCAATACAACTACTGTATGATCTCACTTGCATGTGGAATCTCATATAACTTTAACTCACAGAGACAGAGAACAGATTGATGGTTACCAGAGGCAGAGGGCAGGAATGGGGAAAATGAGTGAAGGTAGTCAAAGGGTACAAACTTCCAGTTATAAGATAAATAAGTTCTGGCAATGTAATGTACAGCATGGTGTGTATAGTTAACAATTCTTTACTGTATATTTGACAGCTGCTAAGAGAGTAGACCTTGGAAGTTCTCATCACAAGAAAAAAATTAACTGTGGGAGGTGATATTATGTTAACTACATTTATTGTAATTATTCTGCTAAATATACACATATCAAATCATTATTTTGTATACCTTAAACTAATACAAATTTATATATCAATTATATCTCCATAAAACTGGAAAAAAATTAGAAGCAACATAAAAGACCAAAATAAACTGGTTGTAAACTTTATGCTTCAAGATGACTGAATGCAGTAGCCTTTAAAATGACGATTATTTAGACTATTATTTAGATTAAAAAGAGAGAGGATGAAAAGAAACCACAGACTGGAAGAAAATATCTGCATTTTATATTTGATAAGAACTTGTATCTAAGATGTTTAAGAACTTTTATACCTCAATCTGTACAGAACTTAAAGAAAATATGTGAATAGCAATTAAGCCCATGGACAGATAACCAATCTCATTAGTCATTAGGAAAATGCAAATTAAAACCACAAGGAGATATTACTACACACCAACCAGAACAGTTAAATTAAAAAGATTAGAAATACCAAGTGTTGGCAAGGATATGGCCATCTTCCTCCTAAATATTTATCCCAAGGGAATGAAAACATGTATCTACAATCAAGATGTGAATGAGAATGTTCATAGCAACTCTATTCATAATGCCCCCAAATTAGAAAAAACTCTAATATCAATCAACTGATGACTGAATAAACAAAGTATAGTGTATCCATACAATGGAACAGTACTCAGCAACAAAAAGGAACTACTGACATACCTAACAGCATGGATGAATTAAAAACAAAAACACAAAACACTGAGGTATGTGAAAGATGGCAGGACAAAAGACTACATACTATGACTTCGTTAATATGAAAATCTAAAAAAAGTGTAACCATAGTAACAGAATGCAGAGCAGTGGTGGCGCAGGACCAGGATGAGGAAAGAAGACTGCAAAAGTACAAGAGGGAACTTATGGGCTGATGGAAATGCTCTAGATCTTGAATGGGTGATAGTTGCACAACCACATAAAATTGCTAAAACTCATCAAACTTATGATCTCAACAGGGATGGATTTTATTATAGATAAACTATATCTTATCCGATTTTTTAAAAACAAACGCCTAATAAAAATAGCTCTTAAGGAAAAAAAATAACTGCATATATTATATGGCACATTTCTATTTAATGTCTGAAAGGTGCTAGAAAAACTATAAAATCCAATCTTACCCAGTAAAATAATTTAAAAATGTAATAGTTATTCTTTTAGATCACTGCATTTTCTAAAAAATATTTAAATATTATTTCTGAATATGGAATACACGCATAAGGCACAAAATTCAAAAGGCACACAAGGGTATACAATGAAATGTAAATCTCCCTTTCACTCTTATTCCCCAGTCACTAGTTCCCTTCCTGGAAGAAACCTATCTCTCCTTCCAAAGTCATCTAGAAACAATCAAGAGGGGCGCCTGTGTGGCTCAGTCGTTAAGCATCTGCCTTCGGCTCAGGTTATGATCCTAGGGTCCTAGGATCGAGCCCCGCACTGTGTTTCTGTCAAATAGATAAATAAAATCTTTAAAATAAATAAATAAAATAAAAAAATAAAAGCAATCAAGAAATTAAATGTCTGCGTATATATGTATGTTTAAGTGTGTGTAATACAAAATGATAGCATAGTATGCCCTGTTCTGCACTTACGTTATCTATATATCCTATATATCTTGCAGATCTCCCTCTCCCCCATCCATGTACACACAAAATGTTTCCTTTTTTAATAGCTGCAAAAACTTTTAAAGAATCCCACAAACTACACCTTGGATCACTACAGTGGTACTTTAAAAAGCCTTACAAATCTGTAAATTTGTAAACTCTATTCTTGAATCTGGGGTCAAATTCCCATTCCTTATGTCTGTGGTCAATTATTACTAATACACTGTTAGCTTTGGATGGCAAAAAATGTAAAACAGACGGAATATACCTTTGGTATTATGACTAGATTAAAAATAGATTTTAAAATATCTAAAATATTATTAAAATGAAATTGTAAGTCAGGTAACCCTCCTCGCTTAATTTAAAACTTGGGTTGCCCTCTGGGTTTATTTCACTAACTTTTAGAGACCTTTCTTCTGGTCCCCTAAACTAAGCTCTTTTCATCACTTTTCAGCCTTGTTAGTTTCTCTATAAAAAGAGAGATGGGGAGGCGCCTGGATGGCTCAGTCGTTAAGCGTCTGCCTTCGGCTCAGGTCATGATCCCAGGGTCGTGGGATCAAGCCCCGCATCGGGCTCCCTGCTCAGCGGGGAGCCTGCTTCTCCCTCTCCCACTTCCCCTGCTTGTGTTCCTTCTCTCGCTGTCTCTCTCTCTCCGTCAAATAAATAAATAAAATCTTAAAAAAAAAAAGAGAGATGGGAAGGTTCTTCTGGAGGATAATGATTCCATTTCAAGAGTCATAGCAGAACACTAGGGCCATAATCTTCAAAAATTTCTGGAACACAGGAACTCTGTCTTATTAAAGTTTGATAAAAATCAGTCCCATTATCTCCCCCAGAAAAACGCTACTTTTCTTCCTGAATTTTCTATCTTGGTTACCAGCATCACCACCCATCTAGTCACCCACGCTGCCCTTCCATCCTTTGCTCTTCCTCTATGTCCAACAGGCTATTAAGTTTTACCAACACTACTTTCCCAATACCTTTCAAATATATCATCATCACTTTCCAACCATCTCAGTTCAGATCTTCATTACAATGGCTTCTTAGCTGATCTCCTTACTTTATGTCATACTTGGTTACACATTTAAGCTTTCCAAAACACAAATCTGATCATGTTGGGTTGCTGCACATAGACCTTTGTTAAATCTACACTCTTACAGGAATCAAGTGTGAAACTTTTTTTGGCATGAGGCAGGTAGTGTGGGGCAGTGAAAAGAGGATACAGATTTATAAGTTAAAAAAGACTTGTGTTTGGGGGCACCTGGGTGGCTCAGTCAATTAAGCGTCTGCCTTTGGCCCAGGTCATGGTCCTGGGGTCCTAGGATCCAGCCCCACGTGTGGTTCCCTGCAGGGAGCCTGCTTCTCCCTCCTCCTCTGCTCCTCCCCTCCACTCACGTGCGACCTCTGTTCACTCTCTCTTGCTGTCTAATAAATAAAATCTCAAAAAAAAAAAAAAAAAGATCTGTGTTTGAAGTCTGACTTTCAGCAAGTAATTAAATGTCTCTGAAATTTAGTTTCTTCCTTTATTCAGCAGCAATTATATCACCTATACCCATTCCACTCAGTGAGGTCCTTGGAGAAGGAACATCAATACCACCTAAGAGTATATTACAAATGCAGAGCCACCCCAAACCTACTCATTCAAAATCTGTATCTTAATACAATCACTAGATGATTGGCATACACATTACAGTTTGAGATGCACCACAAACTTGTGAGATTAGTTAGAAAGTGCATGTAAAGCTCCTGACATAGAGTAGGCACTCAATAAATGTTGCCTATTATAATCTTCCTCTTTTCCTTTTCTGTATCTTTGCTCCTCCTGATTCTTTTGCCTGGAATGTATTCCTCACCTCCTATATTATTGAAATCTTGCTCATTAAGTATCAAATGAAATGTTACTTTCTGTTCCAAGTCTTCTACATCCTTTATCAAAGTGAGAAGGGCACTCTGTAACTTCACTTTCTACTTTTTATGTTTTACTCTGGTGAATAGGTTTCCTTCAGTAGACTTTAAGCTTTTTGAGGGAAGGGACAGCTGATTGATCTATTTCCTAAAATTTAACCAGTACCCTATCTTTTAGAAGGTTCAGGTAGATGCAGTTACTAAGAATAGATAAAAGAAAAGCAGGTGTGTCCATGACAGTCCTGGCAGTAAACCTGGAGCTGTACATGTGTAAAATGGATGACTGATGAGCAAGTGCCCAAGACAAGAGGAAAGGTAAAAACGAGAAAGAACTTCTGACAGGTTTTTCCATCCTCCAGATGAGTTAGGGATCCATGAAACATCTCTAGAAAATCTTAGGATCTGAGCTGGTTCCCTTAAGATTTTTCTCTGATTTAGCCTGAAACAGGTCATCCCTTGAAACTCCTTTCTCTTTTATCTGTCTCTAGCAGTGAAGACCCAAATTTAGATTAAATGATTCAGAATCTCACTGCTGGAATTACACACCAGAAATCATCCCAACTCAATCATTTGATAGATTTGGAAACTATAATCCAGAGAAGTCAAATCACTTGTGCAAAGTTATACAGTAAATAAATACAGCTGACCTAGTTTCAAGCTCAAAACTCTTACACTACACTTAAACAACAGTTAGGATCCCAGCAAATGTCAAAAGGAATGTGTAATATGCTTATGCCTATATATACTATATATTTTTGCCAAATACATCCCCATTTCACTATAATATTGATTCAAATTCAGTTTACTATGATATTCATTTTATGCTATCTCTATAATCAATAATTCTATTTTATATCTATATAAAGTTTACCCTGAGTTATTTTTCCAGCTCTATCCTATTTCCTTGGCATCACTGTATTTTTTCATGGATTATGATGTTTAATCTAGTTTCCTAAGAGTTAACCCATCTGACCCACATCTCACATCTGTATTAAAGATGAAGTAACATGAATTCTAAAATAATCCTGTAGAAAATCAGTATGCCTCTGTATGAATATAAGAATGAAATGAAATTTGTTAAGATTGAAAACAATAATACAGATTCTACCAAAATATTAGTTATAAATTTCTATAGGCTCAAATAAAAAGGAAACATTCAAGTTACAAATTGTAGTTATTTAGATAAATTCTTATCTTTAAATTAAAAACCTAGTTGCCAAGATATTTGTGAAAAACTCCTATAACATTTAATGAAAGGGAAAATAAAAGCAAAAATACTTAAAAGACACGCAGATGATTCTACAGATCTACAAAAGGAAAGTGAATCTTTAGGCTACATTTCAATAGACAAGTTACTGTTACCACACAGGAGGCATAGGCTATTTCTACAAACCGCATAACATTTTTTTAAGACTGTTAATTACTTCTACATCAGAAGATAGTAACAAATCATATAAAGCATAAGAAATTAAAACAAAAACAGTAAAATGAGGAGCCTAAATACAAATATATTATTCTCACCTGATACGATTTTTCCAATAAAAAATACACTAATTTGTTTGAAACATATCTGAAACATGCTCAGTCCATTAAAAATAAAATGTAACCAATTCTTACTACTTAAACATATAGGTCTATGACAAAATAGAGAACATACCTACTTATCCATCAAATCAAGATTATTAAAGACATTTAGTTAAGGTTCCTTAAAAAATGGTATAGTATAGGGCATGAGGTAGGCAAAGGGAAACAAAATAAAACCACCCTCAATTTCAAATTTTTTCTATATTGTCATATATGCAAAACTCATTTACCAATTTTTTTAAGCAAGAGAGAATGGTCTTCTCATATTAAATGGCAGTATAGGCGAAATCAAGACCTAAAGGGAAGAAGGTACAAAAAAGAGTGCAGAATATGAGGCACCTAGGAAAAACAGGTGTGGACCTGGGACTCAGCCACAGCTGTGTCCCATCCTTTTGGTAAGCCACCTGGATGCCTTGTATTCTCTGCCTCCTGTTTTCTCTAAAAACAAATGAGATTTCTCAAGTCCTCTTGATTTTATATGGATTTTCCTGCTCTTAAAAGAAAAAATAAATAGGCAGTATTTTAAAGTTAGGATAAAGGCTCCAGTTGCTGAAATCTGAAATTTCAGACTTTAGGCTTCTAATCTATTAGCACTCTACCAAAATGATCCAAATTAGGATATAAACAATTGATCCATATATGTTAACTCACTGTTGCATGTATAACTTATAGGAAGGCATTAGATACAATATTAATTAGAAAAACTATTGACATAAATAGCATGCACGGTACCTTTTGATAAACAATGGAGCACACAAGATCCTTGACAGCAGATAAAGATAGTTCCTGGGCTTCGATGGTAACGCTCTCCCGTGTAAGGCCAATTTGCAGCAGAAATGAAATTGTATGCTCTGAGCCTCTGGAGTTGGTGAGTGATGGCGCACTGAAACTTCCATTAGAGAGTCGGGCAGAGAGTCCTGTTTTAGGACTTGAACACGGAGAAGGAGCTGGAAGCACAGCAGGAAGAGTTGCAGGTAATACAGACTTCTGGGCTGATGGAGGGGAATTGTTTGCAGACATCTGCCTTTCTTTAATATTTTAAAATAGTTGTCAATTTTTTTTCAGTGGTTATGAAGAGGCTTTTAAAATCACAGCAGTAAAAAAATGACTGTACTTTTGGATTTAATTGAAAACTTCTTTATTTCCTCTTTTAAGCCACTCATGCCAATGATTGCAACTTCTACAACTGTGAGTTGAATACACAAAAGGTCCTACTTCCCTTAGTATCAGTCCCATCAAAAAGGAGTCTTGTCTTTAGGACCACAACCAGAGATTTGGAAAGGATTTAACATCACTGTATTTTCCTCATCAGAAAAGAGTTGACATTGCTTCTTTACTAACCATCTTCATTTATTTTCTTTTAAGTCTACTCTTGTCTCTCTCTTTTAATTTCAGAGAATACATAGTGAATAAAAGTTGTTTTTCTATTAAGATGAAATCCTCCTGGTTTAAAAAATAAGTGTTTAGGATTAATCTATTTAACCCTTATCTTGAGGTTTACTGATTTGATGGGACACTTTTTCAAATGTCCATACCTTAAATCACCTTTTCAAATGTCTTTACTTTCATTTTTGGGGGGGCAAATTTTTCCATGATGAAGCACAAAACTTTTTAAAACAGTACAGGCATATTTCACTTGATGAATGGGTCCACTGAGAAAAGTTGATGCTTTCTGAAATGCAGTCAGCCTGGAAGGAATTTTAAAAACACTCTTAATATTTTATACTCATTTGACATTATTTTAAAAAACCAATAATCCCTGTATTTTTTTTAAATGATAAGTTTTGGTTGTATGTTTGTAATTCACCAAGAATCCTAATGGGTAGCCATTTTGCAGGGGGGGGGTCTAGTTAACAGAGACATTATTTTCTTAGAGGTATAACTTTAGGGAGAGCCTCCTGCTCACCACCACCACCACCACCAAGTCCCTGGCACTCCTCACTAATACCTGAAACCTGAAGATCAAACACTTTTATTCCACAAATATACAACTGAGTTAGGAGAGAAACAACGAAATATAGAAGGGACTAAAAG